TCGCGGGGACCGGAGGCCGGCCGGGCCCGCTCGCCAGGGACCGGAGGCCGGCCGTGCCCGCTCGCCAGGGACCGGAGGCCGGCCGGGCCCGCTCGCCAGGGACCGGAGGCCGGCCGTGCCCGCTCGCCGTGGACCGGAGGCCGGCCGGGCGCCGCCGGCGAGCCGCAGCCTCGGCCGGGCCCGTGCACAGCTGGCTGGCAGGTCGCGACGGCGGCCGATCAATAGTGCACGGCGTGCGAACATCGGTATCGACCCGACCCCGGCCGGGAACGGGGTCAGGGTCAGGTGTCAGTCGAGCCGGGCTGAGCAGCAGACAGCACGCGTTGTCGGTGGCCCGCGGCCGGCCGCGCACCGCAAACTCTGGCTAAACCGAAGCTAAACTGGCGTGTGCTCGAGGCGTGTATGCCGCAGAATTTTCCTCGGGGTGATTCCCGCGAGCGGCTCCTTTTACGAGCGCGTCAGCCAAAACGGCGGCGACGCTCCCCGTTCCGCGACATATTATACCCCGATTCCAGATACTCCCAATCCGTCACAGAGCCAGTCGTTTGTAGCCTGCCGTTCGCAGAAGTCCCCTCTTCGGACCGGCCACTCCCGGCCGGCGCCGCTGCTTCCCCGTACCAGCCGGCCGGAGCGCGGAAGCTCGCAGCCGACGGCCGGGGACACCTCAGCGCTGGCATATCGAACGAGAGGTGACTGGGCGCTTTGAAGTCGACCGACTAGCCAATCCGCGCGGATGAGGCAGCGCTGCTGTCCCCCCTCCCCGCCCCTCCCCCCGTGCGCACTCAGCACCAGTGGTGTGATGGTAGGCTGCGGTGGCGGCAGCCGTTAAACTGTCGCCGCTGGTGCCGCCTTCGGAGGGGAGCTGCGGACGGTGGCGGGAGAGACAGGGAGGGCGGTCGACGGTGCGGCAGGGTCATGCTCCCAAAGACCGGGCTCAACTCGGTGTGCCCCTTCTCGCGCGGGGGCAGCGTTCGGCTGATAGATAATCTGGATGATCGTTGAGATTATTAAGGAACGTTAGACAAAATCTGGACCGGAGTTCGGCACTGCCAACACGACAAATTATGCCACCCATACCAACACAAGCCCTGGCGTCATTTTTTCGTCACGCGTAACTATAACTGCTGGTTACAGTGCGTGTATGCTTGGCACATGCGAGAAGAAACTAGAGGAGAAGATAATTTCCGAGACTACCAACGGAAATGAGAGCTTCCGTTGATAATTATCGGAGCACAAATATTAATTACACGATCTTCCATAGGCCGGACGCGTCCCAGAATCCGGCAGGACGGCGCCGCGTCCGACGTCGCCATGGCGACGGAAGCGGTGAGTCAGAGACGTGACGACCGCAGGTACATCGATCGGCGGCCAACAGGCAGGTGGAGCGTCCGCCCACGGAGAGGTCATGTCAAACCCGCCCCAGCCCCGCCTCCCTCCCCCTCTTCCACGTGAAACCAAACCGCCGGGCGTCAGGCGGCGTCCTGGCGGGCCGTCCACCGCCGAACCCAGGGCTACCATGAGACGACAACACACGAGCCGTGGATCAGTGACGTCAGTGAGACGGCCGTTGCGACCCTTTGAACAACGCTCAAGCGGTCAGCCCGCGTTGGATTTAGCGGCCTCGACCTCACGGGCACCACGATAAAATCCCGAGCAGCGAAACCGTTTACAAATTTCCCAACTAACACGCCGTCGCCCGGGAGGAGTCGTTATCTTACTCCACTGGCGGCGGTGACGTCGGAGTTTGCGATCGTGACGTCAGCGGCCGCCAGCCGTGACGTCACGCACCGCCCCGGGCGCCGGGCGGGACGTCCCCGGGCCGGCCTCGGCGTCTGCCGGCGCCGCGCCGTCTGGAGATGAGCGCCGGGCGCCGGCCGGCCCCGCCGAGACGGACGGCGCCCCGGCGTCTCGGACGAGCATCGGTCGCCGCCAGCTGGGCTCAGACTGCGCTAGCTTGGATCACACCGCGCTTGCTGGGCTCAGACCGCGCTTGCTGGGCTCAGACCACCCTAGCTGAGCTCAGACCGCGCCTGCTGGGCTCAGACTGCGCTAGCTAGGCTCACATCGCGCTAGCTGGGCTCAGACCGCGCTAGCTGGGTTCACGCGCTGGTTAGGTTCAGACTGCGCTAGCTGAGCCCAGACCGCGCTAGCTGGGCCGTAGATTTAGCGGCACCCAGGCCCCGCCGGCCGAAAACTTGCTGCTTCAGCTGCCCTAGGCTGAGTCAAACGATCTAAGGTCACGCTTGCTCGGCTCCCATTGCCTCACCAGAGCCCTGGCCGCGTCAGCAGGGCTTTGGCCAGTGGGACGGTCTGAGGAGCGCTGCCAGACAGTCCGGGCCGCGGCGGACGGGCTGTGTCGCGTAAGAAGGTCTATGGCCGCATACGACAGCCTCAGGCCGCGTTAGACGGCCTCGAGCCGTGTTAGACGGTTTCGGGCCGCGCAAGACGGACTTGGGTCGCGTTAGACGATCTGGAGCCGCGTTAGACGGTCTCGGGCCGCGTTGGACGGTCTTGGGCCGTGTTAGACGACCTGTAGCCGCGTAAGACGGCCTCGGGCCGTGTTAGACACATAAGACGGTCTCGACCGCGTAAGACGGCCTCGGGCCGTGTTAGACGGTCTCAGGCCGCGTTAGACGGTCTCGGGCCGTGTAAGAAGGCCTCGAGCCGTGTTAGACGGTCTCGGACCGCGTAAGACGGCCTCGAGCCGTGTTAGACGGTCTCGGACCGCGTAAGACGGTCTCGGACCGCGTAAGACGGCCTCGAGCCGTGTTAGACGGTCTCGGACCGCGTAAGACGGCCTCGAGCCGTGTTAGACGGTCTCGGACCGCGTAAGACGGCCTCAGCCGTGTTAGACGGTCTCGGACCGCGTAAGACGGTCTCGGACCGCGTAAGACGGCCTCGGGCCGCGTTAGACGGCCTCGGACCGCGTAAGACGGCCTCGAGCCGTGTTAGACGGTCTCGGACCGCGTAAGACGGCCTCAGCCGTGTTCGTCCCCGACCGCGAGTTGCCGGGCTTCGCCAGCGTGATGGCGGCCCATCGGCGGCATTAGGCGGCTCGGCGGCCGGCGGCATCGGCGTGCTGGGGATTAGCGGCGCCTCCAGAGGCTGACGGCCCCCTCCCTCGCCCCCCCCCCCCCCTCTCACCGCCGCGGGCCTGAGCTGGGCTCGGTCGGACCGTGGCAGCGCCCGCGGCGGCCCCGCAGGCAGCCCGGACCAGATGAGCGCAGGGTGGCCAATGAGCGGAGGGCCCGCTGAAACGCGGAGTGGAGCATGCGGCGCCATTTACAGCAACTGAAAACTGAACAGCGTTGCTACCGCATATTGATACCGCACGGGCCGAAAGCTGACCCCCACCTGCGTAGGCCAAGGTGCGTTGCACTTCGCACGCTGTGCAGGGTGAACACTACCCGCTCCGGGGGAGGAGGAAGGGGGCGGACACCCCGCATCGGCTGGAAACTGAACCAATCCGAGCTGCAGCATACTGCGTGCCACACGCCGCGCACACCGTACCTTTTTACGTCAATATTTTACCTTTTTACGTCAATTGGCAGGTGCAGGACGAGTGGAATGGGCGCGCGGCCCACCCGATGGATTCCAACGTACGGAAGACCTGCATACGACACCTGAGACGCGCCGAGGACTTCCAGGTCTGGCATATTGGAACAAGGACTCGCGTAACCGTCCCATATCAAGCAGACTTGGAGGACACGGCCCCGTGCACGACAGAACGCCAACAAAGGACCGAGATGTCAACCTTCAACGGTCTGGCTAAATTATCACCACAACCTCAACCTCGCGTCAGACTCGGCGCATCTCTCCATCCATCGCGTCACACCGAGTCAGACCGAGTCCACACCGAGTGAGACCGAGTCCACACCGAGTGAGACCGAGTCCACGCCGAGTGAGACCGAGTCCACGCCGAGTGAGACCGAGTCCATACCGAGTGAGACCGAGTCCACACCGAGTCAGACCGAGTCCACACCGAGTCAGACCGAGGCCAAATCGAGTCGGCGCCCCCGTCGATGGCGGCGTCACGGCGCCGTCGGTCCGGCGCGCCATCAGACGCCGCGCCAGACTCGGCCGTCCGTCCACGTCACCGCCTCCCGAGCCGGCAGGCGCCCGTCGCTTAGCCGGCCCAGCCGATGATCACAATAAATCGCCCGGCCGGCGTCATTAGCGGCTCGTCGCCATGACAACGCCGCCGCCGCCGCCGCCGCGGCTTCGACGGACGCCCGCCGGCTGTGGTCTGGCCGCGGAGCGACGGAAGAACGCCCCCTCCCCCAGTGTGTGTGTGTGTGTGTGTGTGTGTGTGTGTACACAGGAGGAGGAGCGGGGAGGGGGGGTAATTGGCCATCGACGGCCGACTAAGCGCCGGTGGCCGTGTTGGTCCACGAGGGAGTCGGTAATGACCATGACCGACGAGCCGGGAGGGACGGGGCTCCATAGGCGCTCGTGTGTGGTGATGCAGCACTGCCCTCCATCCGCGACGCTACGTACAGGCAAGGCGGAATACAATGATATCTTAATGATTAAATATCACAGGCAGCATATACCAACACAAGGGATAATGAACGCATGCAGTAAAATGGTCTGGTCGGGGTACTGGCCTGGAAAGTTCGAGCAATTGCCAGCACAGTGCGCACGATGCTATATTACCCCCCCCCCCCCCATAACAAACTAACGACCCCCCCCCATAACAAACTAACGACAAACTACCGCACTGCTGTTGAAAACAGGAGCTACAACAGAAAAGCACAAACCTGCGCAACCCGCAGGTCATCCCGCCAGCGCATGGCTGTCAGCACCACCGCTAGGGTGACGGTCGCCACCGCTGACCACTCGGTACCAGGACAGGGTGTCGGTACTCCCCGCCGCTGACCCCTAAGTACCAGGACAGGGTGTCAGCCCGGCCCCCCTAATGACCCTCGGAGCCAGGACAGGGCGCCGGACAGGCCCGAGCTGGACGCGGACGCCGTTCTCCAGCGAGCAGACGCTCCTACCTTGTACTTGTCGATGCTGCAGCCGTAGTCGCCAATCTTGAGCGTGCAGTTCTCCATGATGCGGCAGTTGCGCGCAGCCAAGTCACTGGAACGCCGGTCAAGTCAGGTCAGACGGGTCACTGCAACACTGGACAGGTCGGTGCAGACCGTTCACTGCAACGCCGGTCAGTGCAACACTGCAACACCGGCCACGTCAGCTCCGACCCGGATTTGTCTCGTCTCAGGAAAGCAATAAGATGTCGCGCCGGGTTGCCAAACAGTAAGGTCCAAAGCGCACCACGAGCGCCAGGTTACCAAAGGGTAAGGTCGGATCTGTCTTCTTGTCTCAGGAATATCTTGTCTTGTCTCGTGAATAAGGCGTCGTGCCAGGTTGCCAAACAGTAAGGTCCAAAGCGCACCACGAGCGCCAGGTTACCAATGAGTAAGGTCAGATCTGTCTTCTTGTCTCAGGAAAGAAATAAGGTGTGGCGCTGGGTTGCCAACGAGTAAGGCGCCACGAACTGTAGCGGCAATTCGCTTCGAGTACTTCACTGTGACGAAACCGTGACATGACAACGGCGCCGTCCACCAACCGCGGCACCCCACCTGTGCGTGTAATGAATGTCATGCAGGTGCTGAAGTCCCGAAGCCGCGTCCATGGCCATCTTGTTCAGCGACATGGTGTCCAGCAGGAGCTGCCGCTGTTCCGAAGACCGCGACTGCAGGAACTCCTTGGCGTCGCCCTGGGGCCGTCAAAAGGTCAGTTGTCTGCGGCTCCTCAGTATGTTACGACCCCGCTCGGCAATAGCCGGAATACATGTGGCGTGACGTACGGGCAGGGGCGACAGCTGGACAGTCGCTCATCACGTGGTTCTGCCAGCCTACAGGCCAGTGATGATGATGATGACTTGAGACTTACGGGCGCGTCGGCATCAAAGGTCACGTGGCGCCCATAACGAAAGCGGCAAGCCCAGTCCGCCCACGCCAGCTGACTACACGGCGTTACTTCACCAATGAGCAGCGCGGACACAACACTTGGCCGGCAGACCTCTTCCTAAGTTTCCGCACCCCAATTGGGCTCCCAGCGTTAATCAGCACCGCACGCGACACAGCCGGGCTCTAAACAACGAGCGGCGAGCATGGAGCACTCAGCTGGAAGCTGGGGTGTGTGTCGGCAAGGCACAGCTGATACGCCTGAGCCAGATGACGGGTGGTGGCACACTACCGCGTGCAGTTCCAGCGCGCAAAGCCAACAGGCATATCGGCGTACCACTGGGCACCACCAGAAAATGTGCACAGCGACCGCGGTTACAGTCTGATGGTTGTAAGCGGCTGAAGCCCAGTTTACACCGGCCAGTCTTCCCTGGGAGCCACCACACATCAGCTGGGACGGGACGCATCATTGGCCAGCGCTACACCAGACCCCCGCTGCCCGCCGCCCTGACACCAGCCAGGCAGCCAGGCCGGCAGCCAACGGTGCCAGCAGCCAGCCGCGGTCCGGTCCGGCAGCCAGCAGCCAGCGGCCAGCAGCCAGAGGCCAGCAGCGAGCACCGAGCGGAGTGTGGCCAGCAGCGAGCGGCCAGCGGGCCAGCAGGATCGCCGTCTCTGCCGCGGCCGGGCCCGGCGGCGCCTTACCATGCCGCAGCGCTCCAGGATGAGCAGGTAGGGGTCGGCCTCCACGCAGCGGCCCAGCAGCCGCAGCACGTGCGGGTGGTTGGCGTCGCGCAGGTACGACATCTGGCGACGAGAACGGCCGGCTAAGACGGCCCGGTGCCCCGCCGACAGACCCGACAGACCCGACAGACCCGGCCGACCCGACAGACCTGACCGATACGACCGGCACTACCTAGCCGCCGGCACAGTATCCCAGCGACCCGCTGATCAACTACGGAAGCGGTCGAAGCACTTCAGGCGCTCCCTAGACGCAAATAATCTGTCTTTCCAGTCTGCTAAACAAGGCACAACATGCAAGGTTGCAACGCGACAGCAGAGCCACGTCGTGCAATATTTCGAGCAATTCATTCCAGCGGGCGCATTAAGCAATGACAAATCGTCGACTACGACTCGGCGAAAACACAAAATCGATGATCACCACGGCTCCTGAGCACAAGAGCCGGCAAACATTCACCGCGTCACAATGACAGACATATCCACCCACCAACCCACCCCAAAACGTGCTGCGCCGCTCATAAAGCCCCGAGCTCATCAGTGGGACAGCCCGCGGTCGAGCGGCGTCCCGCCGGGCGCCTGTCACCGCCCTCTCCGGGCCCGGAGTGCGTGTGGTCGTGTTCGTGCGGGGCAGGGCCAACTGACCTCGTGCAGGAAGTACATCTGCTCGGGCAGCGTGGCGCCCGCCCGCAGCGCCTTCACCACCACGGCGGTGCGCGGCTCGGCCGTCAGGTCGCGGGCCTCCCCCACCAGCGCCTGGGGACACAGCGGGTCAGGTCAGGTCAAGTCACGGGCCTCCCACCAACGCCTGGCGACACGGCGGGTCAGGTCAGATCATCAGCTTTCCCCACCGGCGCCTGGTGACACAGCAGGTCAGGTCAGGTCAGATCACAGGTCTCCCGATCAGCGCCTGATGACACGGCGGGCAGGTCAGGTCACGTCAAGAGCCTCCCCACCAGCGCCCGGTCAGAGGAAGCAAGACGGCGGGTCGGGTCAGGTCAGGTTAGGTCACGAGCCTCTCCACCAGCGCCAGGTGACACAGCAGGTCAGGTCAGGTCACGGGCTTCCCCACCGGCGCCTGGTCAGAGAAAGTATGACGGCGGGTCGGGTCAGGTCAGGTCAGGTCACGAGCCTCTCCACCAGCGCCTGGTCACGGGAAGCATCCAGACGGGTCAGGTCAGCTAAGGTTAGGTCACGAGCCTTCCAACGAATGTCTGGTGACACAAATCAGATAAGGTAAGGTCGCGAGCCACTCCTCAATGCATGGTGAGGTGACACACCAATTCAGTCAGGTCAAGTCCCGTTCCCACAGCCTGACAATAATTCCAATCTGCACAGGGCCTCCTATTGGAGAGCACATACACAGACATCCAGATGGAATTTAAAAATGTACGGCCGGCGCCTGCAGCGCGTTCTTCGAAGGTCACGTGTCTGACACCTCTTGCATCTGAGCCGGGGACGGAAGCGCTGCCGCCAGATGGCAGCGGTGAGCGGGCCGGGCCGGCGGCCGAGGGGACGGGGCTGAGGACAGGCCGGCACGGGCCGAGCCGGTGGCAGGGGGACGGGACTGAAGACGGGTCGGCACGGGCCGGGCCGGGCCGAGGAGACAGGGCTGAAGACATGCCAGCACGGGCCGAGCCGGTGGCCGGGGGGACGGGACTGAGGACAGACCGGTGCGGACCGGGCTGGCGGCCGAGGGGACGGCACTGAACGCAGGCCGGCACGGGGCGGGCCGGCGGCCGAGGGGACAGCAATGAAGACTGAAGACAGGCGAGCACGGGACGGGTCGGCGGCCGGGGGGACGGGACTGAAGACAGGCCGGCACAGGCCGAGCCGGGGGGGGGGGGGGACTGAAGACAGGCCGGCACGCGGCTCAGATTGATCAGCTCTAGGGTCGGACCAGACGCGCGCCGGCCAGCCGGTGACCGCGCGCAGCAGCTGCAGTGACGGCTGCCGACCGGGCGGCGGCCGCCGCGCCGCCTGCCCGGCACGCGCCTAATGAGGACGGATCGGGCCACTTGGCACGGACGTAAACAAAGCGGTCATTATCTGAGCATTACGGCCCGCTGCTGGTCACTTCAGGCCGTGACCAGCCAGCTCCAGACGAAGCAGTCACGGGCGCGGCGGAATTTGCCGCACACTATGCAAAGGGGAGCCAAAACGCAACGGCAACGCAGCGGCCCACCCACGTGGAGGGAAACGGTCATGACCCCGCTCATAAGCCGGCTTGGGAATTCCGAATTGTGTTTTATCTTCTATTTGCCTCAGCTAGACTGACTGAAGGATTTACCGAAGTAGACTCAACACGGTTATGAATCTGGCTTGCTGAATCCTTTATCTCATCATACGGAAAGCGACGGGGTATTCCGTGTGAGCTCCGAGCCCTCATCAAGGCGGATTCTGGACTGCACTCCGACGGACAGACAGCCGAGAGACGGACAAACAGACGATGACCAACAGACAGATGACAGACAAACGGGCGGGCGACGTACAGACAACGCAGAACGGGAGAACGAGACAGTGCGGCACGGAGGCGGACAACAGATAGAGAGGCCACAAAACAGCACAGCACGGAGACGGACAACAGATAGAGAGGCCACAAAACAGCACAGCACGGAGACGGACAACAGATAGAGAGGCCACACAACAGCACAGCACGGAGACGGACAACAGATAGAGAGGCCACACAACAGCACAGCACGGAGACGGACAACAGATAGAGACAATAAAACGGCGCGGCGCGGAGACAGCCAACAGACAGAGGGACAAGAAAACGGCGCGGCGCGGAGACAGCCAACAGACAGAGGGACCAGAAAACGGCGCGGCACGGAGACGGACGACAGATAGAGACAATAAAACGGCGCGGCGCGGAGACGGACAACAGACAGAAAAACAACAAACCCAAAGACAACTGGCGACGGCACAATCGTCAAACGCCATGCCCATTTACAGCTGGACAGAGCCGGGCGGAGGGAGAGACGGAGGGTGGGCCGGGCAGGCGGCCAAGAGGGCCTATCGGGCAGGGCGGAGGCAGGGCGGAGGCAGGGCAGAGACAGGCCGGCCGGGAGGGACGGACGGAGGGCGGGGAGGAAAAGACGGGGAGGGACGGAGGGCGGGCTGGGCAGGCGGCCTAGAGGGCCTATCGGGCAGGGCGAGCAGGGCGGAGGCGAGGCAGAGACAGGCCGGCGGGGAGACGCACCGGCGGGCAGGCACAGGCCGGACCCCACTCACCTGGCCGAACCAGCCAGTGCCCAGCTCCTGCTGATACTTGAGCTGCCGCCGCGGGAAGTTCAGATGCGGGTTATCTGCAAAAAAAACAGCACGCGCGATCACAGGCTGGCCCTGAGCAGATACACACAGGCCAAGACAGAACAGGACAGGACATGACATGACATGACATGACATGACATGACATGACATGAGAGCAGGACAGGACAGGACAGGACAGCAGGACAGGACAGGACAGGCCAGACCAGGGCAGATCAGACCAGACCGAGACAGGCCAGGCCAGGCCAGGCCAGGCCAGACCAGACCAGACCAGAACACGCCAGGCCGGACCAGGCCAGGTCAGGTCGGGCCAGGCCGGGCCGGGCCGGGCCAGGCCAGGCCAGACCAGGTCAGGTCAGGCCAGGATATGACAGACCAGGCCATGTCAGGTCAGCCAAGTCAAACCGGATCGGAAAGACCAGACTCGTCAGACCCGACCAGGCCACGGTAAGAATATGAAGATGGAAAACACACTTTGAAAAACTACGGACGAAAGCGGATTAACAAGAACTGCGAACGAAAGAGGATTAGCGAAAGCTTCAAATTTCCTGCGCGCTAGATAAAGCACGAAAAAGGGACGAGCCATCCAGCGCAAGTCACTCGCTGATCAAGCTGGGCCCACAGCTCGGATGTCAGCTTAATTACGCTCACAACTTGGGAAGCGCTTCAGCCTCATAGATGGTCGCTTTCGCACATACGTGGGCTGCAGGGAGCAGGCAACATTATCTCTGCAATAACCACACGACCCCACTTAAATGACAGGCTTAGCACATCTATAAGCTACCACTTTCAGAAATATGCACCAGTGATAAACATAACGACATCATGATTTCGCCGACCGTGCCGTTGCAAGCTAATCGGCAGACATCTTTCTATTAAAAATATAGGGCCGTTCCATAAACAGGACGGTAGAGTTCTGGTAACTTGCCATTAAGACAGGACTGGCGTGTCCCTGCAATCCATCACCCCTGTATCCATCATCCCTGCAATCGCATCACAAGGCGGCCGCACAGAAGCACCGAGGCGGCTTCTGTGCAGCCGCCTCTCGGTACTAACGAGCCTAGGGCCAGCCCTCCTCCCCTTTGTACGCATCTGTGTCGCAGGCCGCCCCCCCCCCCCCCCCCCCCTGACCGCACCGCTAACGATCTGATTACAATTAGCCCGCCCGCAAATAGCTCGCATATCATTAGCATGTCCGGAACACACGTGAGGACAACGACCCCGCCTCCTTTGTGCTCCGCCTTTCCTGTCGTAAGTCCCGTCTGTTCGCAGTTCTCTCTGTTCCCCCCCTTCGTTCTGTGCTCCGTCCTCCCCGTTCTCTGCCTCGATGTTCGCGGTTGTTTCCGTCCTCCCTGCTCGCAATGATCCCTGCTCTGTCCCTGTCCCACATCCTGTCCGTCCCCAGTCGTTCCTGTTCCAGTCCTCTTCGTCTATGGTCCTCTGTTAGCAGTTTTCTCTGTCCTCAGTCCTCCGTTCTCTCTGTCCCAGTCCCCCTGTCCCATCGCGGTGGTTGGCCGGCCTTCCCCGCCGCCGGCAGCAGCGGCGCGGCATGGCGGAAGTGCCGTCCGCCCCAGCCTCAGCCTTAGCCGCCTCAGCCTCAGCCTTAGCCTCAGCCTCAGCCTCAGCCTCAGCCTCAGCCTCAGCCTCAGCCTCAGCCTCAGCCTCAGCCTCAGCCTCAGCCGCCTCAGCCGCCTCAGCCTCAGCCTCAGCCTCAGCCTCAGCCTCAGCCTCAGCCGCCTCAGCCTCAGGCCTCAGCCTCAGCCTCAGCCTCAGCCTCAGCCTCAGCCTCAGCCTCAGCCTCAGCCTCAGTCTCAGCCTCAGCCTCAGCCTCAGCCGCCTCAGCCTCAGTCCCAGCCTCAGCCACCTCAGCCTCAGCCTCAGTGTTCCCAACAGTGCTCAGCCCTGCTCTGTGGTAGAGCGCGTAGCCGCCGGTCACCAGTGTCAACCGCGTTAAGCCCCACCGGTCGCCGCACTGAGATAGCTGACCCGTCGCTCCCGCCAGCCGGTGGCGGCACGGGGCAGGTCACGGCCGTCGTGCCACCCAACCGCCGGAAGTCACCATGTCACCAACCACGAGTCGGCATGTCATCAACCAACCAGTCACCATGACGCAGGCCAGCGCGCATGCGCAATACTACAGCACCGAGCTTGGCGGGACCAAAATGCTCGTCAGTCGGGTGGTGTGGAGTCAAGCGTGTAATCCGCGCGGTGCTTCTCAAACTTCGGTTCCGAAGAGCGCATACTGTGCGGCCACAGACAGCACGATTTGAGGGGAAGCTGCTCATCCCCACTTATGCGCGTCGCATTAAGGCCAGCACCACCTGATTTACGGAGATCTGGATCCACTTTCCCAAGAGTTCACTCCTCACCAGCGCCCCGATGAGGCTACGCCGATGCATTCAGATTCAAACCGCCAAATCTCCTCCAGCCCGCCGGAACCTTGGGGCGACGGCTTAAACCATCAACGGAGGAAACCCATGAACTGCAGCAATGCCTGCCCCAATGATCACGAGATGGCCATGGCAGGTTTTTGTGCGCTGTGTGCTAGCGTCATTTTGGCAACCCACAGAATCGCCGGTGGAAGAGCACTAGCACGTGCGCTTGTAGCTGTCACTGACCCCAAAACCAACACCACCGCCAACACCAGGCAGCGCCCGAGAGCTTCGGGGCAAAGTGCGCGCGTCGTCTGCCACTGAGGACGCCGGCGAGAAAAACAGAGGCAGCGGAAGCCGACCGACCACCCAGTCATGCGTGAAGCGGCAGCGGACAAAAACGGCGCCGCCGCCGCCACAAACGCGCACCAACTGCCTGTCTGCGCGCCGCGTCCGCCGACCGGCTGCCCGAAGTCGTCCTGAGCATGGGAGGGAGCTGCGACAGGGCCGGTGTGACAGCGGCCGAACCACCCGCCTTGAAAATCGGCACAAACGCTGACCCCTCCGCTTAGCGAGTCGTTCGTCCCGACACCCTTGCAACACGCACACTGCCTGGCGTTCTCCACCCTTTGCCATGAGGGTTGGTCATGGCAGCACTCCCAGTACTGCCGGCCCCTTGTCGCCTGACAGGCCGGCCGTTCCTGGAACAGGCAGGCCCACCGTGCGTGTCAGCCGACCGTGACAGGGAAGGTCGAGCAGCGCCGTCCACAGGCTGCGGACCGTCCTCCCGCAGCGGCGGAGCGCAGGGAAGGCCACGGCCGCGCTCTGCAACAGAGCAGCACAGCAGGCCACGGCCGCCCGTTGCAGCGGCGCAGCACAGGCTGCGGCCTGTCCTCCCGCAGCGGCGCACAGGGGAGGACGCGGCCGCGCTCTGCAGCAGGGTAGCACAGCAGGCCACGGCCGCCCGTCGCAGCGGCGCGGCATCCGAGCTGGTATGTCCCATGAGCTTAACAACGTCCAGTCCGAGCAGTTTCGCGTGTGCCAAGCAAAATGACTACGCCCGCTGCACTGTTGGACAGCTCTAGTGCCTGAAAATATTACTTCTGATCGTTTGTAAGACGCTTTAACACGCGTTGCATTTACAGGAAACACTAAGTCGAGCTCACCACGTGCTTACATAACGGCAAACACACCGTCTGCATAACGTACCGGCAAAAGTAAAAGCCGTCTGCGGTTTTCGGCTGGTCGACCAGGCGCCTCGGCGGCCTTCCTCGGCGGCGCTGAGCCGCGCCAGCCGTCAGCAGCAACCGCTCAGACCGGTTCCTGCGTGGCCCGACCGACGGCCCGGCCCGGCGTGACGTCACCGGCCGCCGCCCGCTGACGTCACGCCGGTGACTCAGCCGGCTGGTTCAGGTGGGCGTCACGAGACGCCCGGCAGGGGGCGCCGGTCCGACGAGCGCCGCGCCGTCCCCGCCGCAGCCGCGCCGTCCCCGCCGCAGCCGCGCTGTCTCCGCCGCAGTCGCACCGTCGCCAGTCCAGCGACAGCGGCCGAGTACGCGCAGGACCCGCCGCAGCGCTGGCCGGTATCTAGGCGCCATCCGCTCACAAAGCGCTGGCCCTTCGCTGCGCCGTGCAAAGCGGTTGCGTGTCGTGCCACTCACGCGGCAGGGTGGGGGCGCGGGTGGGGGGTGGGGGTGTGGGTGGGGTGGGGAGGGAACTCTGGGCTGCACCACGCTGTCAAAACCGTTCCACAGTGCGGTCCGTACCCACCACGCAGTCTGAGCGGGGCGTGCCCCGTCCAACAGCGGACCCGCCGGCCACGGAGACGGCGCCTGTCCGCCGCGTCCACGCGGCGTCGCCGGAGCCCCGTCCCGTCCCCGGCCGTCGCCACCGGCGTCCGAGCCTGTCACGCCTCACGCCGCCGGTCCGCACGCCAAATTACCCGATGGTTCCGGGCGACGGCCGGGCGCGGCGGGCCGGCCCGCTCCCCCGGCGCGCGCCGGCGTGGCGCGACCGCGGCGCGCGGCCGCCGCGTAACCGGCGCCGCGCCGCAAGCCAGTCCATTCCGGCTCCGACACGCGCAGAGGCCGCCGCCGCCGTCCTCCGCTGGAGAGATGTGGGCCTCGCACTCGCTGCTCGTCCGTCGAAGGGGCATTGCGGCTGCCGTTGGGGAGTTCGCGCGCGCGGTGAGCGCCGGGACATGCCGACACGAGGCGGCCCGGGCTGCATCGGACGCGCTGGGGTGGTCTGCAGCCCGGCTGGCCTGACCGGTGTCTCGACCATCGAGCGAGCTGGCACCGCAGCAGGGGGGCTGCGGAATTTCGTGGATCCACGCGGAGCAGAGCCGGGCTCTCTCTACGTTCCGTGGGAAGGCTGCACTCAACTCCTCCCGCTCCAAATCGCGGATACTAAATTGTTCAATCCTGCCAACCATTTGCCGTTGGAATTTTGCTCTTTCTTGGAACTTTCAACGGCCAATGTTTTCAACTACGTCTAGCCGAAATGATTGCATTCCACCATTACGAGCCAACTATGCCACGGGCACGTGCACTTTGCAGGAGTGATTTTTGAATGTCTGAAACGCAGTGCAATGTACTCGGCATCGCACGGGACACTAGTCATTGCATCGTTTAATTTTGTGTAAAAGCCCCATCACGTGTGTGACTACCAATAAGACACCCCTAAATCCCGCACTTACCCTCTTTCTACCCCGCAATGTCCCCCATTAACCCCAAAACATACATCCCTTGGTACTACGGTTCAGAGTCTCACAGTTTAAAAGAGCATCGCGAGTTACTCACGCAACGCGACGCACAATGAACACGCTCGCGCAGCCGCACCTCCGCTGTCCCGCACAGGCGACCACCGGCGGCTCCAGAGGTCAGCGCGAGGTCACGGGGTCTGGCCGGCGGCGCAACACGCGCCCGGCCCAGCGGCGAGGGCCGGCGCCGCAGCCACCGAGCGCGGCAAGTGTGCCAGCCTCCGCAGCAGCCCGAGCAGGGCGTGCCGTGCGTCACGCGCCGCGCGCTGACACGCACAACCCGCCGCGACAGGCGCGAGAGCGGCGGCGAGTGCGGCGCTCACGCGCGGCGGAGGACGCGGCGCCGACTGTTTGCGAACGTGAGTCGGCGGAGGCGGGCCGTGACCGTGTTTGGCGAAGGCACGCGACCGCAGGGCTCTGCCGGCTGGTGTTCAGGGTGCCCCGCGGCGGTAGGGCGCGGGCGCTTCAGCAAGTGGGGCCCCCCACGACGGCGCGGCGCAGGGGTCGGACTGACGTCGACTTCAGTGTCCTCGAAGCACCGGC